AGCCCTAAGCCCCCTCCCACATCCAACCTCCCTCCCAGAGCCCACACTCCATCCTGCACCCCAACACTCTGCGACAGGCTCAGCCTGGCAGGATCCAAGTGTGGAGGCTTCCAGGTGTGGGAGAGATGGTTCTGTGTGGGGCAATCGATGCAGGCACTCAGTAGGGTTTCCAACTCTTCCAGATTGGCCAGGAGCTTCCCAGAATCAAAATCGATCTCCTGGTGGCTACTGAAACCAATCTGGGAAATTTTAATAGGCCACTAAAAGTCCGGTCCTCAGCACAGCAGGACTAAGGCAGGCTCCTTATCTGCCCTGGCTCCGCATGGCTCCCGGAAGCGACCGGCATGTCCCTCTGGCTCCTAGACACAAGGGTGGCCAGGGGGTCTCTGTGTGCTGCCTCCGCCCCAAGCGCCAACTCCGCAGCACCCATTGGCCAGGAACCGCAGCCAATGGGAGCTGCGGGGACAGTGCCTGCAGGCAGGTGCAGTGCACAGAGCCCTCTAGCCAGTCCTGAGTCTATGCCAGTCGCTTCCAGGAGCTGCCTGAGGTAAGCATCGCCAAGACAGAGCCCGAACCTCTCACCACCTCCTGCACCCCAACCCCCTGCCCAGCCCTAAGCCCCTCCCACATCCAAACTCCCTCCCAGAGCCCACACTCCATCCTGCACCCCAACACTCTGCCCCAGGCTCAGCCTGGAGTCCCCTCCCACACTCCAAACCCCTCGGCCCCAGGCCAGAGCCCGCACCCCCTTCCGCACCCAACCCCCTGCCCGGTGAAAGGGAGTGAGGGTGGGGGACAGCGAGTGATGTGATGGAGTGAGCGGGTGGCGGGGCCTTGGAGAAGGAATGGGGCAGGGCCGTGGCCTCAGGGAAGGGGTGTGGCAGGGGGCAGGGTAAGGGTGTTTGTGCAATTAAACAGTTGGCAACCCTCCGGCTCCATGGGGGACCTGGGTACAGGGAGGAGCTGGATGCACATGGGCTCATTGTGGGGTTCTGGGCGCAGGAGCAATGGGATGCTGCCGGGGGGTCCAGGTGAAGGTGGTTGGGGCTCATCGGAGGGATGGGTGTGGCGGAATGGAGCTCAGCACATAGAGGCCTGCGTGTGGGGGGTTGTGGCGCGGCAGGAAGAGTCTGGGTGCAGAGGGGCTCTGGATGCAGGGGGTGAGGCATGGCAGGGTGGGAGTTTGGATGCAGGGAGTTCTGGGGGAGGTGAGGCTTGGCAGGGGGGCCTGGGCATGGGAGGTCCAGAGGCACGGGGTGGATGGGGGAGCAACTCCCCATCCTCAATGACCCCTCCTCCCATGACTTAGGTGTGATGGGGGCAGGAAGGGGGAAGAGCTTCCTGCAGCCAGGGTAGGTTTCTGGGGGTGGGTCTGAACCAAACCCCGTCACTCCTTGCAGGGGAAGAGGAAGTCTTGTCCTCCCCAGCCCAGTTGGGAATAGCAGCTAAGCCCAGTACAGGGTAGGAGCCACCAGCTGGGGCATCCTCAGCATCCCCCTCCTCTCCCCGCCGCAGTGAGTTACCTCTCTGTCAGCTGTTCTGGGTGCCTGAAATGATGCGCCCATGCTGCTGAAAAGGGGCACGTGACCACTCTTGCGGTTTCCATTTGCTTCCCCATCAGAAAGTCATTTTTTTTTTGCAGGAAATTAAAGAAAAATGTGGGGGACATGAATTCTGCGTGCACATAGTGGTGCAGAATTCCCCCACAAGTACTATTTAAACTCCTCTCTTCCCTCTGTCAGTAGTCAGGGTAGATCAGTGGAACAGTTTTGAAACTGCTTGACCTGCAGACAGATGATTGTCTTGATTTAGGGCAAAAGAAGGGCAGAAGAATGGGTACCTCCATTCTGCATTTCCACGCCTTTAAAAAAAAAGTGTAACATCAGTTTTGAATTTACTGGCTTTCAGACATTGAAAAAGCCATTTTGTGTGACTTTCCTGTTTCTTTCAGTAATGTGAAGCCATTGTTAGAAACCGAAATAAAAGAATACAATCTTAGTGAATTCTTTTATTTTATTCCGGTGGGATTCTACTATAAATATGTGAAAGAAGTGCTACAGAAGACTTGTATCTTTAATAATCATTTTGTTATGTGTATTTGTCAGTGAAAAAAGTGTCAAGTTATAACAAAGTATATGTGTTACTTGATTTCTAAGCTACAAAATTAGCATGTACATTAAAATGATAGTATGTGCTACCTGTATACATGATTTTTCTAAATATTTTCATAACAGTGATTTAGGCCCAAAGATGCTTAATTCTCAAAGGTATTTTCCTCTTAAGTTTCAGTTACATTGTACTAACTCCAGCTCAACATTTTTTGTCTGGGAATTTTCTTTGGCTTTGAGCAACTTAATTTTAAGAGGTGCTCTGCAACACATTCATGTACATAATTTGCTTCCATGTATCACACTAGCCAGTAGTTCAAGGGTTGCCATATTTTGGTCAACTAAAAACTGAATTCAGCATCGTTTACAAGCTTCTCCTGCTCTGTTCGGTTTGGATCTGCCAAGCTGAGATTTTGCTGGTTTTTGGAAACAGCAGAGCTAAGATGAAGGGAGCAATGTTTACTTGTCTATTTGTAGTGCTGCTCTTGGATCTGCCCCTAGTAACAATAATAATAATTTTACATTGCTTTATGTTTTCAAAGCACAAGATAAATAAGTTATCCCTATTTTATATACACACAAACAGGAATAGAGGAATTTAGTGGGTTGCATGGGACACAGTTTAAGTCTCTCAATTGATTAGATATGGGACACAGTCAGGCAACTTGAGTTCTAATCATAGTGTTACCACTCCCTCACTTTGTAGCTTCTGGCAAGACACTTAAATCTCTCCCAGCTTCAAATTTTGCCACCTGAACAATGGGAACAGTGATACTTATTTATATCATGGTACAGGGAATACAAGGCATAAAAAATATTTGTAAAATATTTTTAAATTCTTGGATGAGATATGCTGTATATGTTAAGTAGTATTAAG